AAAATGTCCGAGTCAGCGAGTGCTGCAGTCATTCCTTGAAGGCACTTGCAAGAGTGAAGTCTTGGCAAGGTTACAGGACAGCAAGTCCTGCACTCTGGTCTCAAGGGCTACAGCCACAAGGACAGGAGACTCCTCGTCAAGGACTGTGCTAAGCAAATGCTATGGTCTGCCCTTGAGGGCACCCGCAGGAGTAATGCCTCAGGAAAGCTCCGGGTCAGCAAGGAATGAGTGTGCTGTGCAGGAGCTCCTCCAAGCCTTTGCCCCTGCAGCTGCAAAAGCTGCTCCCCAGATCCTGGTTCCAGCAGTACTCAAGCCTGTCATGAGCTTCAGAGTGTGAATGTGCATTTTGTATCCCTGTGGCCCGATGGTGGCTCAGCCCAGGAGTCTGGGTGGCTCCAGCAGGAAGGGTGGCCGAAGGTTTCCTGCCTGGTTTGGTGGCATCACTGCAGGGGCTTATCTTTGCTCTAAGCCAAAAAAACCCTTCTAACTAACATAGCCTTTGCCTTCATAGTTATCCAGTAAGACTGCCTCTGCAGTTCTTTTCTTCTATATCAAAACTTGCTTTCATTTCTATTCCTTCTTCATATTCTACATTCAAAAATCTTTCTGCCAAGCATACATATCTGTGAGACTTTCTTGTCAAATTTTCATCCTTCCCAACAGACAATGTATTTACACAAGAGCAGAAAAAACAACAAACTACAGAACATACATAGTATAAGAATTCTTATGACAAAAGCAATCTATAAAAATATTTATAATATAGAAGATCTATTTAAAAGAGTAACATAAGAAATGTATTTACAGACTAAAGGACATCTATAAAAACTACAACCTTAGAAATGTATTTACAGTATAGGGGACCTATAGAACACCTGGAATCTAATAAACATATTTACAGAAGACTCTAACAATTTAGATATCTAAATACAGAAGGGACTGTGTTCATCATCTCTGTTATTCCTGTATGTCCATTCAGGGGTCCAGCCTGCCTGGGCGGTCAGGGACTGTCCCCGTCCCTGGAATGGCACTGTACTTTCACCAGGAGAGGAGTGCACATCTTGATGGGATTAGTTCTGAGATCCAGGCAGCATGAAAAGTTCAGGACTGATGTAAATAGCAAGGAGCAGCTGAGAAGAGTCTGACGCAAGCAGAGTGAAGGGTGGTCTCCAAGCAGACTGAAGGCTCTGCTGGGTACAAGGGCAATGGCTGCATTGTGCTTATCAAGAGATTCTGGAAGTTCCTCCTGGAACGCTGTCTGTGATACAATGAATCTGGGAGCTGTGAAGTTATAGGAGTTCCAGGGGCCCTCCAGATTGGGTGCTTTTTCTTGTAAAATGATTGAATCCCTGAATGGTTTGTCTTGGATGGGTCTCTAAAGACCATCTTGTTCCAACCTCATCAACCTCCCACCAATCCAGGTTGCTTAGGGCCCCTTCCAACATGGCCTTGAATGTTCCCATGGATGGGGCTTCACAGTCTCTCTGCATAGCCTGTTCCAAGGCCTCACCACCCTCATGGGAGAAAAACATCTTCCTCATTTCAAAGCTAAATTGAGCTCCTCCAGTTTCCATCCATGCCCCCTTCTCCTCTGGCTACAGGCCCTGCTGAACACTCTGTCCCCAGGGCCCCCCAAGTCCTGCTTGGCTGCAGTGAGGCTCCCCAGGGCCTCCTCTCCTCCTGGCTGAGCAACCCCAGCTCTCCCTGACTTTCCTCAGAGCAGAGGGGCTCCAGCCCCTGCATCATCTCTGGAGGATGTCCTCCTCTGCACTCTCTCCAACAGCTCCAGGTGCTTCCCATGCTCAGGATGCCAGAGCTGGGGAGGGATGAGCCCAGGAGGGGCTGCAGCCTCATGGGCACCAGCAGGGAATTCTGTGTTATCCCTGGAGGGGAACTAAGTGTGCTTGGATGCTGAGGGATAAAATAAAAGGAATGAAGCCTGTGCTTCAGCCTTACATTTCTGTAAATCAACCTTTTGATTTACAGAACTTCTTGTATGGTGTCAGGTGTGCCAGTGCACCTGCAGCACTCTGAGTATTAGACAGAAATCCTGCCATTTTCATGTGTACTGATTGTCTGTCCAGGCGTTCTACTGGGATTTCTGTCTTTCTGTGGTCTGTTCGCTGTAGGACAGTCACTGAAGATCAGTTGCTGCTCACCTGAAAAAATAATTACCATCATAATTACTTTCCCAGGCTCAGCTGGGAACTGAGGTCTCAGGATAAACTCTGCACTGAGAATTATTTCAAACTTTTCAAAATAATTCAATTAGAATTTCTGTGTAATTATAAGGAAATCCTCACTCTTATGTATTTCATGGGTTAAAGGAGACATGTATAACAGTGTGACTGAAAAGTTCATCCCAGTTCATGACTGAGGCTTATGAAAAACATATTTTAGATGTTAGAACAGAAGCAGACGTGTATGTGACCTGCAGGCAAGGCCAAAGCGGGGCTGTGCCTCTTGCATGTGCAGCAGGCATTGGCTGTGCCTGGGGGGCAGGCAGCCCTGCCCAGAACCTGGCAAAGGGCTGCAGGCTGGGGAGGGGAACTGCCTGCAGCCAAGTCCAAGGTCCAGGGTGATAGAGCTGCTCACATCTTGGCCCCAGCTCTGCCTGGCATCTCACCAGTTGGATCCTGCCCGTTGCCTGGGTCCTGCTGCAGTGAGGGGTCTGTGTGCCCCAGGTAACACTTCACACTGATCATCTCCTGGGATCCCCTTGGGAAGTGAGACAGGGAGTGCTGTCTGCTCAGTGTCCATGTGGCGAGGCCTGGCATCAGGAATCAGGGCTGTTCCTGGCACTGTCCTGGGACCTGCTGTGGCTTCATGTGGCTCTGGGTTACAGAATTCCAGAATGGGTGAGGTTGGAAGGGACCACAATGGGGCTTCTGGTCCCACATCCTGGGTCAAACAGAGCCATCCCACAGCATGGATCTGGAAGTGAGTATCTCCAGTGAAGGAGACTCCATAACCTCTTAGCAATATGTTCCATTGAGTGGTCACTTGCAAAATAAAGAAGTTCTTCCTCATGTTCGGGTGTAACTTCCTTCAGGTTCTGCTCATTGCCTCTGATCTCCGGGTCCCAGGGAGCGGAAGCTGGTCCACGCTCCGAGCCATCGCTGCACATATTTAAACACCGGCTCCTGTGCTGGCAGCGGTAGCGGTGGATGCAGCGGCCGCCAGCCTGCTCGGGCACGGGGCCGCCGCTGCGGCAGAGAGCGCGCCGGGGCGCAGGTGCTGCGGCCGGGCAGGCTCCGGGGACAGCCCAGCCCAGCCCCGCGGCCTCCGCCGCGCTGCTCGCAGAGGAGGCGGGCCCGCGGACGGCCCGGAGGAAGCGCCGGCCGGGCCCCGCGCCGAGCGCAGCCCGGCCCCGCCTCACGCAAGCGGCGCCGCCTCTACTTAAAGCGCGCCCAGCGCGGCGGCCGCCTCCTCCAGCCCACGGCCAGGCGGCTGCACCATGTCGGACCGGCTGCCCTACAAAGTGGGTGAGTGCGAGCCCCGATCCGGCTCCGCCGTGCTCGGCACCTTCCCCGGGGCGGGCGCGGGCGGGAAGCGCGGCCGCGGCGGGAGGACGGCGGGTCCTGCCCGGGCGGAGCCGGGCCCGAGCCCCCCGTGCGCCGGCCGCGCCGCCCTGCGGGAACGGGCGCGGCGCCGCTGGCTTCCCGCTCGCCCTTGTGCCGCTCTCCTGGCCCGGCTGCCCCGTCCCTCGCCCGCTGCTCGGAGCCCTTGGCGGGAACAGGCTTAGCTCCGAAGGTGAAAGCGCTTCCCATCCTGGAACCTTTGACTCATGTGCCCTGAAGGTTTTGGCGCGTGTTTCTGTAGACCTGAAACTTCACAAAGAACCCCGTTTTTTTAAATGGTTGGGTATTTCTTGGAAGCTTCATTCAAGTAGCATTAGTGTAAGGCTCAGGCTCAGATTAATAAATAATTTACCCTGGAGGCTCTGAACCAAAATACTGCAGGATATTTTTAAAGCAGCCGTGTTAAAGCTACCAAGCCCTTAGCGGGGTTAAGATTAAACCTCCTCCTCTTGATATATTTGTTTCTGTGGTCCTTTCCTTGCCTGTTTTCAGTCCTAGTGGTGTATAGACTGGTCCAGTCAGCTTTAGCACGTGCAATAACTTCAGTGGCCCCAGACTTTGTTCTGCCGCAAAATGCCTGTCTGGGTGTTCAGTTCAGCTGTTGCAGCCAGTGCCTACCCACAAGTGTGTGAACGGATACCAAGGTCTCAGCTATTCAAACTCTGACACCTGTCCTGCTTCTCTTGCAGCTGACATCAGCCTTGCAGACTGGGGTCGCAAGGCCATTGAGATTGCAGAGAATGAGATGCCAGGGCTGATGAAGATGCGGGAGATGTACTCTGCATCCAAGCCCCTGAAAGGCGCCCGCATCGCCGGCTGCCTCCATATGACTGTGCAGACAGCAGTGCTCATAGAGACCCTCATCGTGCTGGGGGCTGAGGTAACGTGGCTCTGAGTTTCTCCCTCAGCTCTTGGATAACGCTCTGCCAGGTCACTGCTCCTGCTTATGTAACACCTTACAGAATCCTGGCAAATGTCTATGCTTTTTGGGTGAGGATGCAATCTCCATGTGGATGGATTGTCTTCTCTCCTTGAGCAAGAAGCTTGTTGCTTTCCCTCTGCACCTCTGGGGTGTAGGGTGTGTGTGTTCCCTGTGGACAAGCTGCAGCTTTGAGTGTCTGTTGTGCCCTGTGTGCAGTGCCCTGGGCAGTGCCCACAGCTGTTCCCATGCAGCCATGCTGTGCTCAGGCTTGCAGTGCTGTGGGTGTTCATGCTGCAGCTCTAGGGACTGCCTCCAGCACAGATTAGCTTGTATTAAGAACCCTGCTCTGCTCTGGTAAAGTCAGCAAAATCTAATGAAGTTTACTGAGAGCTCATGCTGGCCCTTCAGCTGTGCAGGAAAGAGCAGGGATGCACTGTGGCTCAGGGACTGAGGGCTGGGATCTCCACTGAATTTTTTGTGTGATTATGGACCAGTTACTCTCATCAGTATTAAAGTCTGAGATACTTAGAAGCCATTTACTGACTTGCTGAATGAAGTCCAGACATCACAGCTGAGTGTTTGCTGTACAGGGCATGAGGAGAGCCAGGTATCTGAGCACAATCTACATTGCTTGTGTGCTGGGCAGGGAGTTGACTGGAATTTCGATGGATTGTTAAGTATGTGTATGATCTGAAGTTCCTTCTTCCTGCAGTTTGGCTGCCCAGAGGTGCCCTACGTGGGATCCCTCTCTGGGAACAGTTAAGAATTGAGCAGTGTCATGCTGATTGAAAGGTGCTGGGAGGAGGAGTTTTCTCCATAGCAGTGAAGGTGTTTCCTCAAAAAGAGGAGGAGGTAGGTATGGACACTGTGCCAGGTCAGCCTAGGCTAGGTACATAGCTGTGCAGGTGTTCCCCAGCCTGTGCAGAGCTGTCCTGTGGCTGCGAATGGTGCAGTGCTGAAGGAGAACTTTGATGTGGGGGTACAGTCCTGGCTTTGTTCCAGCTACTCCGTGTGGAACTCCTGTCCCTCCACAGGATTCAAAAATAAGCAGTAGCTATTGACATTTGGGAAAGCTCCTTGCTGCTCTTGTTGGTTGCTGCATCCCAGTATGGCTGGCCTAGGAGGAGCTGTGTGCTTAGTTAAACATTGCCAAGCTGCTTGAAGTTGAGCATAACCCCAGATCAGTGTTATATAGGATTTATCCAAGTCATTCAGGGAGGTACCTGCAGACATATGGTTTCTCCAAGATGTGGTTGTACCTTTAAAGGTGTGTGCTGCTGTGTTAACTCCTTGTCCTGATGCCTGTGGATTAGTTTAGGCTTTGATTTGAGTTTGGATTCAGCCCTGATTTGCCTGTTCTGTCAGAACTTTGGTGCCAGGGAGGGAGGCACCAAATGAATTAAACTGATAAACTCATACCCCATGTAATAAGGATGTAGCTCACTGCAGCATGGTAACCTTGGTGTCCATGTTTTGGTTGGGTTAATAAGGATAGAATAAATACTCTGTGCTTCATCATTTGTAACAAAAAAAAAAAAAATACTTTCCATAACCAGTGATGTAAATACTAGGGTCTGAGCCCATCAGGTGTTCCCATTATTCTAGGCTCTATGTCACTACCTCAAGTCTAGATCACCTTGGAATGGTAAACAGTATATAGGTATTTTGTATACTTTGAATGTCATGACACCTCCTGATGTTGCCTCTGCTGGTGTGGGAGGAACTTGTAAAAACCCAGGTGAGGAGGTGCAGCTTTAGGTTGTGGATTCAGTTTTCCTGTGCTCCTTCCAGGTGTGTTTTCATGACAAGCATTGGTAGTGTAGGCTGCTTTCTACTGCACCCTTTACTTCAAAATGTCACACTCTGATCAGGTGGTATGACTGTGCCTTATTGCCCTCTCTACTCAGGCTCTATAACCAGTGAACATGCAAATAGCTTCTAGTCAGCCCTGTGGGGAGCAGAGGGTATGTGGCTCTGGGATGTGGTGCTGTGAGCTGCAGATAGGTGTTCAGATCCTTTCCAGTGCAACTCAGCAACATGCTGTTGCTTTTCTAGGTGCCTGAGCCTAGTTATGAAATCTGAGGAAAACACTTAGCTCAGCTGGAAAAGCTTCCTTGACTGGAACACAGAGTGGGAGGTGGGTGAGCATAATCTTAGAGAATGCCTGGATTGAGTGTAATGTTTCAGCTGCATTTCTGACTCTTGTGAATGCCAGCAGGTGTGTTGCTGCATGTCCATACCCTCAGTGGACACTTGCTATGGGGCTGTTCTGAAAATCTGACCTTTATTCACTAAAACTTCCCAACCCTGTGCCTGTTGGGCACCCCTGAAGATCTGGAGTATGCTCTGGCTGTCTGAGAGAAGTGCTTGTGAGCAAGGAGATTGCTGGATGTATGGCATAGCTAAAGCTCATTCACATTCTCTCCATGTGGCATAATTTTCCTTGACTTAGGCTCTTAGTTCTCACCTTATTTTTGCAGAGCTACTGAAAAAGGCAGGAATCTGCACTAATTTCTTTCTGCTCTTGCTCCCTTTTTAAGTCCTGTGTTTGATAGAGAGTCCCTGATATCTCAGAACTTTGTTCAGCAAACAAAACTTGGTTGTTTTCCAGGTACAATGGTCAAGCTGCAACATTTTCTCCACTCAGGACCATGCTGCAGCTGCTATTGCAAAAGCTGGTATCCCTGGTAAGTTTTCCATGTTTTGGTTTGGCTGAGTTGGGCTGTACTGCCTGTTCTTGCTAAATGAAACTGTACACATCAAGATCTTCTGAGCAAGCTTGAGGGTTGAAACAGCCCATCAGAAGCATGGTTTTTACAAACCAGGACATTTGATTCAGGCTGTGTTGCATCAGCCTGTGCACAGGTCTCCCAGCAAAGGCTGCTGTTGGGCTCTGTTAGATCTCATTAAGATGATGGAATGGGCTGGGTGATAAAATGGAGTGGTGTGTAGGTAGGTGTGTGTAGCTGGAGGTGTTTGGTGCTTTCCAGCAAGTTCTATACTAAATAGGGAAAGGTAAGGGAACTGCCATGTACCCTGTCACAGTGGCAGGGTCAATACCCAAGATATTTTTAGGCTAGTATTAGCCCAGCTGTGTTCCTGCCTAATATCCCTTAAGTGCTGTATCAGGATGCTACTGTCTTGTTACTGTGATGTTCCAATAAGGAGCAATTCCTCATGGATCAGCATAAATACCTGACGCTGTCTGCTGTGTAACTCAGTTGAATGAAATGTAACCCTCAGTGCTGGGAACTGAGCCCAGCTGTTGGCAGAGGCTAAATTTGGTTTCTGGCAGTCTGCTTTGGGAGGGGTCTCTCATTTCTATTATAATTAATTATTATCACAGGTCTTTCTCTAACTGTGGCACATTCTATGGCAACAAAGTGATCCTTTCATCAGTTCCTTTGGCACTACCAGCATCAGGCATTGCCCCTGGTATGCGATATCAGAGGGCCACGTGGGATTCTTTAGACTTTGGGTTGTCTTCCTCACTGCTTTCAATACCCAAAACTCAGCTGAAGAGCCATTTACAGGTTGAGTGTTTGTCAAAGTGTGTGGCCATTGCCCTTTGTATCCTTATTTATAGAACTTGCTCTTTTTGTTAATATTGCAATTCACATACTGAATTTATGAAACCCTGAAGGAATGCTGGTCCTTTGGCTTCAATATGAGATCCTAACACACATTACTACAGAATAGGCAGTTGCATGATTGGCTCTTCATGGCTCAAGGTCAGTTTTCTGTGTGAACACTGAAAACATGACAATTTAGCCAAGTGTCGGGGTGTGTAAATACGTATGTGCCCAAGACATATTTGAGTGGCTGAGTACTTCTGAGGACTGAGTATAGCATGAAGACAGTACAGATGCCTGGAAAGAAACAAATCCTAGTAGATGCAACGTACCAGGTGGCAGCCTATTGCTGGGGCTGTAGTGGTGTAGAAATACACCCCGATTAGAGCAGATGAGGCACCTCAGCTTGGATTTTAGTACTGGGCTAGAGACTAGAATTTAAACTCAGAGTTGCTGAAGTGTTTATATTCTGCTGCTTAGCTCACACTGAAGTCTGAGTTTTCTGCTGTGCTAGCAAATGCTGTGGTTGTGTTTTCATTTATCTGTATCTTTATGTCTGAGTGGGGTACTGTGGATGTGAGTCTGCTTTAGTTTGCTTTATCTTCTCTTTTTTAACATGGAACAAGAATAAGGAGAACAATGAAGTCTAAAAATTTTGACCATGTTTCTGGCCTGGAACAGTGATTATTCTGAGGCCTATTTTTCAGTGCAAATGTCTTTGCTGGCCTGCAGGCGCAGATAATCATCTGTCTGTCAGCTGCTACTGGGAGCTGCAGATGAAATCTTCCTTTGGCTGCTTCACTAATTGCCAAGTAAGAAACTGGCTAATGGTTTGTGTTTGTTCCCATGCAGTGTTTGCCTGGAAAGGGGAGACAGATGAGGAATACTTGTGGTGCATTGAGCAGACCCTGTACTTCAAGGATGGGCAGCCCCTCAACATGATTCTGGATGATGGTGGAGATCTTACCAACCTAGTTCATACCAAATACCCACAGCTGCTGAAAGGTGACTTGTGTTTTGTTTTGGCAGGCACAGTTCTGCCTGGGAGGCTGTTTGGGTGGGGGTGTTTCTGCAGGATTTTGCTGCTGGTGTAAAAACGGTTGGGAGAAGAGGGACAGGCATATGCAAACAGGCTGTGAAAATTCCTTACAGTTGAAGAACAGAATCTCTTACCTGCAGGGGCTGTTTCCACCTCTGCTTTGTAGTTGCAGTGACCTGTCCTGGCCAAACTTCACTGTGCCCATTACCTGAGAATGACCATTTAGTTCTGCTGTCATGCCAAAAGTTTCCTGGAAGAGGGCTTTGTTCTAGAACTCAATGTCTGTTTGCAATTAACAGTTATACATTAATGCATTTCTTACCTATCATCTTAGTGCAGTTCTGAATGAAGTCATGACTACCTGTAGTCTTCTGTGGAAAAGGAACTTTTCTACCTTAAATATTCATTCAGTGTGTCAGTGAAGATGCTGATGGAGTCAGGAACTCTTGGTTTGCCTTCAGTGCAAGTTAGTAAAACTGATCAGTGTAGTGTTGCTAGCATGTGTTTATGTAAAAAATTTATGTGAAGGGAAGTGGACATGACCAGGGTGATCTGTGCCTGGTGAGTATGACAGACTCTCCTGAGCCCTGCCAGTATCCATCAGCTGTGCTGCAGCAAGACATGTGCCCAGGGTTGTTAAAGGGCACGTTTGGTCTGGGATGTGAAGGAATTTGGGTGGTGATACAGTGGGGTGTGTTGGTGGATTTGTAGAGGGGAGGTTGGTGTAGAAGCCTGCTGGATCAGCTCTCCTCTGACTCGTGCTCTGCTTTAGTAGGAAGATAGGAGGAAAATAATCTGAAGGTGTCAGGCTGTGAATAGGGCTGTTTGTAGGGAGTCTGAGGCTCTGCTCCTCATCCATGTGCTGCTACAGGTAGGGGCACCAGAAGAAGGGAAACTTTCTCTGTGAAAAGCGTCACTTTGTCCTTCATCTTCAGCCTGATGTCACCCATAATCCAACACTCAACATCTTTGTGTTATTTAAACTGTGATGAAAGGTTTTCATTGGTCTTTGCTCAGCCTCTCTTCCATCAATGGTCTTGTGCTTCCTGGGTTTCCTCTTTGTGATATGCATGACCTCTCACTTTTCCCATGTTTCATGCCCGGGAATACAATTGGTCATCTGTCTTCCTGGTGCTGTCAGAGGCCAAAGAAAGTATTCCCATGTTCATTCTCTGTTTTGAAGGGCTGTTTCCCTACCATGTACACCTTCGTTGGTGTCTGTTCCCAGAGGTACTTGAGCTGAGCTCCTTTCACACTTTCAGCCCTCCTGTTGTTGTTCTTTCTCCTCTCCAGCCCTTTTCACCTTCCTGCTGGTCTTGTGCTCCTGGTGAAGAAGGGACCAGAGTAATACATTGCAGTATAGGACAATGGCTCTTAAACTGTCTCGTGTATTGGCATATATGTGTAGCCTGCCTCTGATAAAAAACATGCCTGTCTGGGTTTGCTTCCTGAATTCATAGAAATTACTCTTCCTCTGGGGTTTTAAAGAGTCTAGGGAGGATGCAGCACCTGTTAGTCTTTCCCAAAATGTGTGGCTGTCTGCATTGGCTGCAGTTGAAAAGTTTCTTGCAACAGTTCAGTAAGTTAAGACTGATCTCTGTAGAGGATGACAAACTTGATCTGTTTTACCTTCCAGTCAATTGCTCCTTGGAAACAGAACAACTTCCAGAATGGGACTCATGGAGTAGAGTCTTGATCTCCTTAATCTGAGATCTGTGAGACTTTGCCCTTTGCTGCAAAGTCTGTTTAAATGAAGCAGTGTAGCATCCAGTTTTGATATCTTGTAGCTAACAGGGGCTAATATATCCTAAGGGCTTGTGGGGAAATCTGACCTCTGTGGAGGTGGAATGAGAGTGACCTTGGCAGAGCATGCACAGTGTGTGGATTGTGAGCATGGGAGACATTTTGGCATGAGGCAGCTGAAAATGCCATTTGCCATTTAAAGACTGGATAAGTTTTCTGGGCTAATTTCAGAGGGAATTGTCTTCCATGCTTCAGCTGCTTCTAATTTAAATAGCTTGCTCCTAGTGTGCAGCTAACATTGGCAGTAGTATTCCTCCAGCTAGGAGATGTGTTAGATGTGTGTGTGGAACTGCTCAGTAAGCTTCCTCTCTCCTGAAGTGTGCCTGCAGTTAGAGGGCAGAATGGCCTTTGTACTATTGGCTTATTCCATTAAGTCCAATGCCCTTAATACCAAGATAAATAAAGGAAGAAAGGGGGAAAATGAGAGTTGACCAGTGGGGAAAGTGATCTGTGCAAAGGAGGTTTCTGGCATCTGTGCAAAAGACCTGTGTGGGGAAGACTGGCTCATTTGTGATTCATTGATAGCCTTGCTCATTGCTCAGGTGACAAACACAGGTCTGAGCATTGAGCAAGGCTGTGTCAATTTAACTCAAACTTGTCCTTGTTGCAAGCCCTTCTCTGCTCTCCAGTCCCTTGGGCATTGACCATGAGTAGTGTAGGCAGCACTTGGGGCAGCTGCAGAGTGGTTTAGACCAGCTGTGAATGGCACCTGGGGCAGGGATGAGGTGCCTCCAGGGAGGGGAAGCTGATGGCATACAGGCTGTGAGGTCTGCTTAATGCTGTGGAAAATCAATCTGCTAAGCTCAGGATTCATCTAGAGAGCCTTTGAAGGTTGAATGTACATCTTACTTGCAAGATACATAAGAAGAGAGAGGGCAGGTTTGAACTTGAGGTTCCTGCTGTGACCTCCAAAAGCTTTTCTTCAAGGAGATGATTGTCCATGATCCAGGCAGTTGTTCTGGAAACTGATGCTTTTGGGAGACTGTCTACAGATCTTCCATTTCACTGTGCACAAGGCTGCACTGTGAACTTTAAACTCTCCTTTCTCCTCTAAGCAAGCCCTAAATATTCCAAAGCCTGAATGCATTCCCTCAGCAGGTGACCAGCAGGGGACTGGGGCTGTCGAGGGCTCTGTGGAGAGATAGAAGTGGTGAGGATCAGTCAGCCAAATCACAGAATCACAGAATGGTTTGGGTTGGGAGGGACTTTTAAAGGCTATCTATTCCAACCTGCCTGCAATGGGCAGGACATCTTCAACTCAGGTTGCTCAGAGCCCTTTGAACATTCCCAGGGATGGGACCTAGAGCACTTCTCAGGGCAGCCTATTTCACCCTAATTGTAAAAAAAAAAAAAAAGTATATTTATATCTAGTCTGAATCACCCTATTTCAATTTAAAACCATTCCCCCTTGTCCTGTTGCAACAGGCTATATTAAACATCTTGTATCTTGTAAGCCCATTTCAAGTTTTAAAAAGCTTCAGTGACCTCTCTGGAGCCTTCTCCAGTTAATCAGCCTTTTCAATTTGAATGCTGCTGGTCCCATTTCCTTCATGTGCTACAGAATGGTCTGGGGAGCAACGGGAAGGTCTCATGGCTTAGTCTCAGGCTCCATTGGGGAATCTGTCTTTTCTGTTGTGAAAACTGTGTTGAATTGCTCTGAGAGTTTCCTGCCTGGGCTTGGACCAGCTCACAGCTGGATTTTTGGAGGAGTAAGGATGGATTTGGACCACACTTGCTATCTGTGAGTAAGCAGTGCCCTGGAGCCAGAAGGACCAGTTCTGTCATGGGTGGCTTCACCAGCTGGTCAAGGGAGGGGATTGGCCTGCCCTGCTCTGGGCTTGGGCCAGCTTCACCTTGAATATTGTGTGTTTTTGGTCAGCACAATATACAAAAAGTATTAAACTAATAGAGAGTGTCCAAAGGAGGGACATAAGGATGGTGAAGAACCTTGAGGGGAAGCCATATGAGGAGTGGCTGAGGTGTTCAGCTGAAGGAGACTGAGGAGAGAGCTCATTGCAGTTACAACTTCCTTGTGAGGGGAAGAGAAGAGGAAGACGCTGGTCTCTGTCACCAGTGACAGGATTCCAGGGAATGGCTGGCACTGCCCAGGCTCCCCAGGGGATGGTCACATCCCCAAACCTGCCAGAGCTCCAGGAGCGTTGGGACAGCGCTGCCAGGGGTGCCCATGGTGGGGCTGTTGGGGGGTCTGTGCAGGGATGGGGCTGGGCTGGGGGGTCCTGTGGGTCCCTCCCAGCTCAGGACATTCCGCGAGTCCGGGCGGCCCGGCCCGCGCTGCCAGCAGAGGGCGCTGCGGCGCCGCGGAGCGCGGCCGGGCCGGCCCCGATCCCGATTATTTAACTTGAGCCTCTGGGGGATCCTCCCAGCACCTGGATGGCCTGATTTGCACAGCACTGACTGCAACTAAGGTGAATACTTTTACTCTTCTAACAGGAATTAGAGGTATTTCAGAAGAGACAACCACTGGTGTTCACAACCTGTACAAGATGAAGGCCAATGGGACCCTGAAAGTGCCAGCTATCAATGTGAATGACTCTGTCACCAAGGTAATACAGACCTTTCTGCAGTGTTCTGCTCTCTGACCAGCTTAGTGTTAGGATGTTGTCATTCCCATGAAAGTATTCCTTCTCTTGCTGAGCTTCTCCTGATTTAGTTCTGAACAGAGACTTCCACCATATCCTAAAAGTGAGCCCTTGATGTCACTGTAAGTGCCCTGTTGTCAGGACATCGGGTGTTTTTTTGTATATAAGGACATCCATTCTTCTGCTGTTTTATAATGTGAACACACTTTTGGAGATCATGAGTCAGTACCTGTGGCAAGAAGCCTGTCCTCACTCGAGTAGCTTAAACCCCTCAGGCAGATGTCAGACACCATCTGGAAAAGGGAGTGTGACCTCCTTGAGCTTGAGCTGGTAAAGGTTGCTTGGTGAGCCTGTGGCTGATCTTTGTGAGCAGCACATGCAAAACAGAGGGCAGGAGGGAGATTTTTATCCCTTGCTTAGCTTTAGTACTGCTTCCAGGATAAATCCTGGTGAATTGAGAACGAAGTGGAATGTTTTTTAAAGGGTCGTGGTGCTTTTTGGCTGCAGATGAATTATAGTGGGAATTAAAGGTGCACTATGCATCTTGATGTTTTTTAAATCTAGTTACTGACTCTGTCTCAAGTTCCCATACAGACGTTATCCTGTTGGGTTGGCAGTTCTCGTGTTTGGCCTGCCTTCTCTGCAGTTTGCTGTCTCCTTTCTGCTTACTAAGATGTACCTGACACTTACTTCATAGGTAGTGGGCTGGAATCCAGTTAATGTTGAAAGAAGTTCTTCACATCCTTTTCACCCAGATTTGTGCCACTTGCATAATAATTATTAATACTGTTTAGTTGATTTGGAAATTCAGATGTTTCTAACAAAGCCTCTTGAAGGGATTTGGGGTTCTAGTGCCAAGCAAGTGCTTGTTTTCAAGTACTGTTTGGTATTTATACAGTACAAGATTTGTACTCACCACAGTTACAGATCTCTGAGAAAACGTACAACTGAGCTGACAAATTCTGCTCTCCCAGTTTGATATTTCCAGTTGGTGCCAGGTTCCTGTGCTAACATTTGGAGAGAGAAGGCAGGTGCGCAGCCAGCTCTGTTCTTCCCCTCTGCCACTCAAATGTATTTTGGGTGGGGCAGCTGTCTGCATCCCACACTCTGCTCTCTTACCTGCATGGGAATGCACAGATGCCTGGAAGGCTTTGACTGCAGTTGGGGGATTTGGTGATGAGGAATCAAATCTGACCATGCTGTTTTCCTCTATGCTGCAAGGAAAATCTGCAGGACTAGGAAAGAGGGATACCAACTGGCACTAGCTCTAGAATTTGAAGGATTGGTAACACAATTTTTTGATACATTCATGGCAGCTATGCCTCTGGCAATTGTTATAGGCACTGAGTCAGGAACTTCTGGATCTGAGGTACAATTGTTACACTTTGGCCAGTTCCTGCCATGGGTAGTTCATCCCATTTCTATTCATACTTAGAAGAACATACAAGAACTGCAGGTGGTGAAGGTGTGCCTTCCACTAGACCAGATTTCTGCCTCTGGGAATTTAATTTTAGGATTGCCTGTAGCAGACAGTGCTGTGTTAAGTAAAAGCAAGAAAGATTGGTGCCCTAAGGCTATAGAAAGCCAGGATAGACTTTGAGACCAGAATTCTGCTGTGAATGGAGATTTTTTAGTATTGCTTCCTTGGGAAGCACAGCACAACATTAGTAGCCAGCTTCTTTAAAAATTCTTTATCTCTGTAACTCCCCACATAATCAAATCTGTTTGTACAGCCCCTCCTCATGGTCAAAACAAAAGGCTCCAGAAGAAGAAGGAGCATTACAAAAGTCAGCACAGCAATGTGTGTTTGAGTTTAGATAGGTGTTTAAGGGGTAAGGCAATATTTGATGTCTGACTTAGCTGGGCACTTTTGATTGGAGGGTCTGGCTGTTAGTGTCAGTGTTACAGTAGGAAGATGTTGTGTGATGGGGCATTAGGAGATGAAATCCAGGGGGTCCTGGTTGCAGTGACCATTTTTGTGAGTGGCTTCTTGCTGAATTTTTCCAAGTCTGAGCAATAGTGAGTGACAGCGCTAGGGTAACCTGACAGTGTTAGGGTAACTCTTCATGGGAGAAGATGTAATTTGGATCTTCTGGGGCTGCATGAACCAGTTACTCCTGGTTGGTGTGGGCAGCTTGCTGCTCTGCAGGTTGGATGTGTCTTGCAAAGATAAAATGATGTGCTGCTGGTGTGTTTTGCCTTCCTGTGGCACTTGGTTCAGTTCATTGTCCGATAAACAGCAGCAGGGAACTGGTGAGCATCTGGTTTAGGAGCTCAGACCTACATTGGTGTGAAGGACACTCAGGTTACTTCTAAGAAGTTTCTAGCAAGTCCAAGTCCTGGTCAGTTGATACAGTGTATTTATGAAATGCTTCTCACCATGTTGAAGCCTGTCTGATGTAACTCCATAGATTGAAACTGGATAAATAAAAACATCAATCCAGGATGTCTGCTTCCTGTCCCTCATGGTGGTTAAAGTATTTAAGTGACTCTTGTAGTACTTGCACATAAGTCCATTTTTTTTCCTTAAGGAAATTCCAGTTGAGTGGATTTTATCTGTTCTGAAACTGCTCCATTTTCTCCCTCAGAGCAAGTTTGATAACCTTTATGGCTGCAGAGAGTCCCTCATTGATGGCATCAAGCGTGCCACAGATGTCATGATTGCTGGGAAGGTGGCAGTGGTGGCAGGATATGGGGACGTGGGCAAGGGTTGTGCCCAGGCCCTGCGGAGCTTCGGAGCCAGAGTCATCATCACCGAAATCGATCCCATCAACGCGCTCCAGGCAGCCATGGAAGGTGGGAGCTGAGAGCAGAACAGGAACTGGGGCATCTGACAGGGTCTCTGCATGTCAGTGTAGAGCAGTAAATGAGAGCTGGCCAAGAAAGGCTCTGTGGGCTTTAGCCCTGTCCCTGCTGAGGTACAGTTCAATCCAGTTTAACTGTAGGAATTCTTTCCTTGCAGTTAGAGAAGGAGTTTGTTACTAGAGGCCTTGAAAGTGTGTTTGGAATCAAGGATTCAGAGATTCAGAGACCATGTAGGGGGTAGGGCTTGAGGGATTGTCCTCAAGTTGTGCAGTTCTGATCTCCAGTGTGGGGCAAGGCTTGACTGGAATTAAAACATTAAAAAACACCTTACCTTTGATATGTTTTTTTGAAGAGCAATGCCATGCTCTGTCTCTCCAGCTGAGCTCAGGGCATTCTCTGGAGCTTTTTTCTGTGAGTGCCTCTTGTAATTGTGCCTCTTGGTACCAGTTTATCCCATTTGTGTTCATACCTGCCAAAAACTGCAGGTATTGTCAGGGCACTTCTTTTGCAAATTCGACCCCCTGAATCCAGTCTGAGTGCTGTAACAGAATATACCTTTGGACACTGAATGCACAGATCCACAGATTTGAAAAGGGTGAGGGATGGTTTTTCTGTCATGTTGGTGTATAGCAAGACCAGTATCCCACTACTTTGCATCATTTCTAGGCCAGGTGTGGGCAGAATCATTTGACTCATTCTTTCTCTGTATTTTTCTACTTCTGATATTACAGCCCACTTGTTAATAAATAGTGGTGGTTGTGTAGAGAAGTAACATTTTCTCTTTTCAGGTTATGAAGTTACAACCATGGAGGAGGCCTGCAAAGAGGGCAACATCTTTGTCACCACCACTGGCTGCACTGACATTGTGCAGGGGAGGTATGGCCAAGACACTTGCTTTATTGAAAGCATGCCTGTACAGTTAGATTTCTTTTTTAAAATACAATCATAACCTGTCAGCAGTTAGCATACAGTCTGACTTCTGGACATCAGAATTTAGTATGAATTTAATGAGTAATTAAGTCTTTGGTCAGTTTGGTTGGATGTTGCCACATTGCAGTTGTTCCTGGCTTATGGAATGTAATGATGGAGAAACAAGAGTTGCAGAAAGGTAGATTGACTTTTGGAGAATGAAGGCATCAGGGCTGAAGTTTGTGTTAGGCCAGACAAGTGTGAACAGAAGAGGAGGCAGGTAAAGGTTGAAAGTGATTCCATCTGTGGGTGCATATCAGCAGCTGAAACCAGCCTGTTCTCAGTGTATTGCCCTGCAGTGTTTGGTTACTGCTTCTTAGATCTCAGTTTATAGCCCCAGCTCCACACAGACTCCTTGCTTTCTTTGCCATGATGACTGTACATGTTGTTGTAATGGAAGATCAGATTACGTGGGAGGAGATGTAAAACTGCTGGGAACTTCAAAGAAAGTTTTCATTAAGAAAATTATTTCTTCTCTGTAAGAAGGAGAACAACTGTAGGTATTTGTTTTGACCAATTAAAATTTTATTACTTTCCATACTGGGAAAGTACTTTATCTCCAGTAAGTTCTTACATCCTTGGGAAATGCCTTTCCCCAGAAGCTTGAGAGTCTTTTCTGGTGGACTTGCCATGCCTGGAGGGGTTACCTACCACACCTTGTGAGAATCAATGCAGTTACTGAGCTGGGCATTTGTCAGGCTGTGGTTTGGAGCATCTGCTGAGGGGGGAAAACTGTGTGGATTAACTTTTAATATAGCTTTTTTTCTTCTGCAGGCACTTTGAGCAGATGAAGGATGATGCCATAGTGTGTAATATTGGCCATTTTGATGTGGAAGTTGATGCCAAGTGGCTGAATGACAATGCAGTGGAGGCAGTGAATATCAAACCTCAGGTAAGGCGGCCTTTCCACAGTCTCTCCTGCTGGAAAAAAGCAGTAGCTACTTAGTGTCCATTTCTAGAGAGTATTTCTCTTCAGGTTCTTTGGTGTTTCTAGCTTTGTTGGAAGCCACTGTTGCTCTAGTCAGAATTCAGATCCTGCTAACCAGGAACAAACTGCACATGATTGTCTTGGGCTGGCATGAAAGAAGTTGTTTCCAGCCAGTGCCAAGTCCCTCGGGGTGATTTCTGAGGAGAGGTGCCTGGTATGGGCACATCTTTCTCTATTGCTCCCAATTCCTTGAGAGACAGTAGCCTATTCTTAGTGCTGGTTGTAGAGACAATTAATGGCATCAAGTCCATTCAGCTTTGATGTTTGGGGCATGGGCAGGGGGTATGCAAATATGCTTGCTTTGATATCCCTGAGCTGAAAACAATGCCTTAGCTTCCAAAAGCAAGGTAGATGAGAAAGAGCAGACCATTAGACACCCTATAAAACTTAAAAGCAGAACCCATAGATTGCCTGGTGCCTGACCTGAATCTTCTCTTGTGGAGCGTTTGCTCATGTACTGCTCTGCAACAGAACAGTCCTAAGGGAATCTCAATGGAATTACTTTGGGGATTCTGTCAAGGTATGAAAAAATTCACACCTCTTTGTCTTCAAAGTGTGGTGTGTTTTTTTAATCTACTCTGAAGTTGAAGCCTCGGGAAAGCCTATCTGGAGCTCTGCCAAACTTGGGTTTCTCTTCCAGAGCTTGGTGGTTTCATTTTAGAAACCTGTGTGGGCAGACCAGGCAAGATGTTTTACCCTTGCTCAGCTTGCATGCCCACCATGTATTTGTATTAAGTTATGGCTGTAGCTACACAAGGAAAATCAGAATCTGAATGTGTCAACTTTTCAACTGTGTGTCTTAAAGCAGAGGAACAAACGTGAACTAGATCAAAACTATTTTGTGACCCCAGATTGAGAGAGAACATCACATAAAGCAAACCAGGCGTTATCTGGCTTGGTGTGGGACTTTTGGTTACCTTTTGAAGAGGGAGTGCCCTTGCTGATAGCACGATTTTGGGATAGGTTTTGTACATTTTTAATAACACCACACCCAAACATACCTCTCAGATCTCCATCTGCCCTTCCAATTTTCATAACTCCCATGTGGCTTATTGGCCAGGTAGATCAAAATCTTACTAAGCACTTGTGAAAGGTATGTTGGGACACTTTGCATGGCCTTGACCAGGTCTGGAGTTAAACTCTCAAGTTCTCACTGTGTTCAGGTTTGTTCTTGCCTATGGCCTTAGTGGAGCTGACTCTGCTCAGGAGCTCTTCTCCTAGAGGAGCCCATAGGTTTCTCCACAGGAGTCTGCTTTCTGCTAGCTTAGGTTGTTGTTTTAAAACTAAACCTTGGACTGATCGAAGAATCAACACTGTTGGAGATTTAATTGGGTGCTAATATGGCACCAGTCAAGCTCCCCGAACAGAGGCAGTAAATCCCTTTTTAAGTGCTTTGCTTTGAGGAGCCAGTCTGGCATTGATGACAGAGTGCATTAAGGTGCAGTGTGGTCCCAGGTATGAAAATTGTAACAAGTTTCTGGTTAAAAAAAATATTATGTTTTGAAAAGGATGGAATTGGGGTCAAGGATTGTCCATATAGATTAATGCTGAAGAAATCTAACTTTCTAAATATTCACATTTTTACTAAAACCTGGCAGTTTCTGTGTCTGAACCAGAGAGGGCAACATAGTACAAAAGCAAAAATGGTTCACTTTCTATGAGGAGCATCTCTTGTGATTAATGGATTGTGATTAAGAGGATTAATGCCAGGGCTGAGGGTGGTTAACTTCAGCTGGAGGTACCAAGTAATTGAGACTGTGTCCAGCATGAAAGTTTCAGTACCAGTGCTGTGCTGATGTAAGAGATGTTTAATACTTCCATAAGACAAATATCTTACTGTACTGTTGTGACTGATGTGTTGCTTTCGGAGGACAGGTAAGGAGGAAATAGGTTTATTACTGAAAAACTGGCAGGTTGGTTTGCATCTGGGTTTGCACTGCAGCCCTGCTCAGCTGTGTTTGAGTATCAGACTGACCTGCAGCACAAACTCAACTCGAGAGGGCAAGGAAAGGTCAGTCAAAGAACTTTGGCTTGTAAATTAGTCCCATATAATGTGAAGGGAAGTGCAAAGCAGCCAGAAAGTCCAGAGCCAAACAAATTCCAGTGGGGAAAAGGAGGAAGCATTTGTCTAAGTGCAGAGAGCAGCTTATTGCTTGGATGACTTGAATTTCACTTCTGGAGCAATTTATTGAGCTTATGAATCAGACTGTTTTATCTGCCTGTATATGAGATGTGTTTCCACAGTACTGACTTAGGCCTCTGCTGGTACCGTTACTATCTTGTATTTATTTCTGTGCATTAATTTTACATTTTCTGTGTTCCCCTGCACGTTGAGTATGTCAGGACAGGTTGCTGAAGGTGTGGGGTTCTATGCACAAGCCACCAGCTGTCCAAGTGGTGTGGATATTATGTAAGGATATAAGATTTTGACATCCAAACCACCCAATGGAGACTTCAAAACTGAAATGCTACTTTAACTGCTCAACTATCTTTTAAGTAGTTCACTCTGTTAATGCAATGTTTGTTATAAGTAATACTGCAGCTGTTCTCAGGATTTTTCATGTTCTGCTTCTCATCGGGTTCCTTCTTTTGTTATTTCCTCTCATAATCTTGTGATGGTCCATATGGTGTTTTTTGGGTGGACTGAGCACTGTTACTGCTGGTCCACAATGGTGAATTGGCATCCAAAATAACAACTGCAGCTGCTCAGGGGGGGATCATTCTTATCCCACCTTCTGAGTGCTTTTGGGGAGGAGAAATCAAGATTAATTTAGGGCTGCTCTTCGAGGTGGTTACTGCCTGCATGTGTTGTGCTGAAATCATAATAATCTGTCATGTGAACCTAAGCAGAAAATGGTGCTGTGATTGAAGGATAGCTGGGGCAGGCAGGTGGAGGCACACATCTGCTCTGAAGGCAAAATACCTGTTATAGAAAACATGGTTTGGGTTGGTTTGCTCTTGTCATCTCTGCTAAAGTCTTGCACAAGGATGTTTTTTCAGAAGAGGGTATTGTTGCAATTACAGCTTCATTACATGTGGCTTTTAACTTCCAGGCCAATTGAAAGTTGTGTTTAAGTAAAACACATATTAAATAACATTTAGCCTCTGAAGTTTAAATACAGTTGTGAGGAGAAACCCTTTTAAGTCTGTCACAGTTGCTCTGCTGTGCTAGCAGAAGATAAATGGTGTGAAGCAGTAGATTTTGTCAAAGTTGGTTGCTGATTATGTTTTAAGTATTTCCAAAGTGCTCTACTCCCAAATGCTTTTATGACATGAGCAATAAATACCAGTTAATACTGAATATTCTTGCAATTTATGGGCCATATTGGTGTTTCATTATTGCTTTAATTTTGTAACCTCCTCTAGGGTGAAGGCGGGGCAGGGAAGAGCTAATGAGAGCTGGAAAGGAGAAGTAGAGTTAAGTTTAACATTGCAGGAGTCCAGTCTGGCCAGGCAGTTGAGGCACATGCTAAATGACATTATCTGTCTCCTTAGCCCATCTGAGCCTGGATTCTGTGTGCAGAGTCTTGCTGTCCCTGGGGTGGCATGGAGAGGATCATGCTGGTGGGGGCCCAAGAGCAAAGCAGGGTACACCAGGAGCCAGGACAGCTGTTTATTTTATGTATTGGGCTTGCAGAGGTGAGAACAGTTCCAGGGGGCCCTCAGCAGGCTGAGGGCTCTGGCTGTTACCCTGTCTCAGGATGCCAAGGTTCTGGACTGCTGCATGCAGAGGTGTTCCCTCTTCCCTGTCATCACTCACCAGTGGGTGCAGATGAAATGGAATCTACTACTAGCAGCAAATTCCCATCACAGCTGGCAGGGACTACAGGCATGTGAAAAGCCAGGAGAGTTGGAGAGCTGTTTGAATAAACTGGAGAGCTGGTTGAGTGCGAAGCAGATGCCAGGACATGTGTGCTGTGGAGCCCAGCGTTCCTGCAGGCTTTGCAAACACGCGGGATGGAGAGAGGGGTGTCTGTGTGGTTGCTGAGGGGCAGGGAGGCCCCCGAGCCCCCAGGCTTGCCCCGTGTGTGACGTGGCCCTGCTGCTCCCACAGGTGGATCGCTACACCCTGCGCAACGGCCGCCACATCATCCTGCTGGCCGAGGGCCGCCTGGTCAACCTGGGCTGTGCCATGGGCCACCCCAGCTTCGTCATGAGCAACTCCTTCACCAACCAGGTCCTGGCTCAGATCGAGCTCTGGACCCACAGTGACAGATATGCTGTGGGGGTGCACTTCCTGCCAAAGAAGGTGAGTGACAGCCGTACAGTGGTGCTGCACAGGAGGCCAACTTTGGGTGTGGCTTTGTTGGTGCTTGAATTCATTTTCCTGCTGAAGGTTTTTGTTGCAAAGTGGTTCTGTCCTTCAGAGGATGTTTGGCTTTGGGCATGCTGGGTGTGAATGAGCTGTTCTTTTGTGTGCAGAACTGGGACTTGCTGGTCCTGTGACAACATCCAGGCACTTCTTGACTTCTCTAAGGTGCTGGGAAGCCCTGTGCTGCCTCATGGTAATTGGAGAGCTTCTGTCAACCAGCTTGTTCCTTCTACAAACCTGTCCAGCAGCACAGTGCAGTGGGCAGAGTAGAAGCTGGAGTGAAATTGAATCCCTTTTACTGTGGTTGATAGAGTCCTGATTCCATTTGCACTTGAGAGAACTTATCACAATCTGGTCTTAATAACTTCACAAAATATTAATGACAGATTCCCTCAGATTTCCCTTTTAACTTATCTCTGCATTCTTTCTTCTTGGAAAAGTCTGGATCATGTCACAGTTTGTATATTCTTTTTAGAAAACTAGCATGGTTTTAATTTTCCCAAACAAGCCTGAGAATTTGAGATTGCTCATGGAAAAAGATGTTGGAGTTAAATCCCACTGCTTTTGGAGCACAACCAGGTGTGAGAATAAGTGTGAAAATACTTTCCATTTGGGAAGTAGAATGTGTATGTTTGGGATTACCAAGGAGGTGTTTCCTGAAGAACCTAAGTTTACAAACTCATCAGTTAAGGATCAAGCAAAGCATACCAGAAATGCAGTGTAGGAGCGGACACATAATTGTCTTCAAAGGAATAGTCTTATTGACAGTTCTCTTGAAAATGAGATCCCAGTATTGCTGATAAAATGTGACTTCATCCTCTCACTGAATAACATTTTTTAGTAAGCATATTTGAACTGGAAATACATAGAAATGAGAAGTAATGGCAAAGAAGTTAAATGTAAATTTGCCTGTTAGGGGAGCATATGGCAGTGATCTCGGGTTCATCCACTGTGACAAAACACTTTTGACCCTCTGTGCCTCACAGAGGGCTTTATTCAAAGAGTAAAGCATTCACCTTATCAGAACCAACAAAAGAGTTTCCTGTGATAATTTTCTGGATTGATGTCTTTCCTTGCTCTGTGCAATTGCTTTAAGGTCCAGATGCAAGACTTAACAATTACCAGGTACTTTACAGTGCAGTTTCTTTGACTGCAAGAATATTGCTTTGATTGGCCATTACAAATGTGCACACATTTCTGCAATATGTGTTCCTGGAAATCCAGGAAAACTCTTGTCTCTATGTTCTTGGCACCAAATCTGTCCTGCTTAGCTTTGATTTTAAGGTGAGAATGTCTGCTTACCTTTGTCTGAATTTGTGTATCTCTATGTCTAAGTCTTGAAGTCCACAAGCTGAAGCAGCTGTGAAACAATTGATCCCCGCTGCTGCTTGAAAACCTCATCTGGGAATTGTCAGAGACTCAGTTCTTTTTCAAGTAGGTGGAATCTGTCTTAAATTCACTGGGAATGCACCTGTGAGAGCTTTTCACCTCAGTCTAATCAACCAGATGAGAATACAATTTCTGCCCCTCTTTTTTTTTTTTTTTTTGTTTCATGGCATCCTGACAGGATATACTAGGCTTAAATACTTGTTTCCCTTCTAAACACTGATTTTCCCCTTAGGTTTTCTTTCTTTCATCATTTACCTGACTCTTTGGGGGATTTCATGGTTCACTGCCACCATTTCAACCATTTCCCCTTAGGTTTCTGATTTTGTCTTGTCACCTCTGGCTGTCCTGGTTCCCAAGAGGCAGGTCCACAGTGTGCAGGCTGAGCTGCAGTGAGTTACACTCTGTGCAGATGGAGCTTTTTATCTGGTTCATGGCATGGGATTACTTCAGAGTAGTGGCTTTGTTACTACAGGTCCTTGGAGGGGGAAATCCAGGACTAGTTTTTGAATCATTTAGGCCCTGGTTCACACAAGCTGCAGGTTTGGCCCTTGATTGTTTTGTTGATCTACTGCCTTTCAGTTATATTGCAGTCTTTCATGTCTACTTAACTAATATGAGGGAAACATTACTGGTCTTCTCTGTGCTGCTGGCATTTAGACTTAACTTGTTTCTGTATCCTCTGAAGTAATTGCCTGGTTTTTGCAGGAATTGCAAATGGTCAGACTTGTCCTTGATCCCTGCTTGTGCTGTGCGTTCTACCTTTGAATATCCCCTGTGGCTGTACATCCCCCTCTGACACAGCAGTTTGGTCAGCATGCTCCTGTTTGTTTTCTGACCCTCCTGTACCTGCTCCTGGAGCACTTAACTGCCTTATAACTTTATACATTTTTCAGTTTCTTGAGTTTACACATCTGCCTGACACCTCTGGGATAGAGAAAATATATCAACCTTT